TTTGGACAGATACTGACATATATTGAATCCTGATCTGCGATTTCTTGTACGAAAACAGGAAATGTTAAACTAAAAAAATGTTTTCAATATATATATATATATATATATATATATATATATATATATATATATATATATTATTCCTTTATTATAATTTTATCGACGGGTGAGAATCGAAAATGGTTATGAACAATCCTGCTTGTAGGTAAGCCGTATGTGAAACGTCACTTCCTTGTTTCCATTTGTTTGAGAAGTCGAAGTGCAATTGAAATGCACTGAAACCAAGTTGCATCTTTGTAATGAGTAAAATGGTTTTGTCTATATGATAAAATTATAATAAATAAATAATTATTGCTCTACTATTGGTATCGAGCCCTCTTTTGAATTAATGCTGTGAACGTTGGAATTTATATATTACTTTCATTCTCATCACATCGGATATATATATATATATATATATATATATATATATATATATATATATATATATAGAGAGAGAGAGAGAGAGAGAGAGATAGAAAGAGACTGAAAGACAAACAAAGAAAGAAAGAAAGAAAGAAAGAAAGAAAGAAAGAAAAGGGAAGACGCCTGGATAAAATTATCAGGGGCAACAGGCGTAACAAGCGCTGTTTTTGCCTGGTCTTATCTCAATGGTTTCCCTCGCCTGTTCCTGCACCCACGTTGTTCGCTTTGTTTATTATGAAGAGCAACATTAATACCCCCCCCGCGTCCGTCAGATGCCAGTGATGGATAAAATGATGATTGCCCCGTCCTATATTTCGTAGATTCGAAAAAACAGAAAAAGCGATTATGGGTAGAATTTTTTAAAGGTGTAATATGACAAAAAAAAGAGAGAGAAAAGAGAAAAGCAACGGAGAAACGAAAGAGTGAGTGATACACCGAGTAACTGATTTATCATGAGAGAACAAAGCCTTACAAAATATATGTGCGTAGGCACCTGCCGTAGCGTGGTTAGGTACCAATCTTCGATCGTAGATCAGTTCAACTTGTGTAATTGAGTTCGATACTCATGAGAGTCCGACGACGATGGAGTATTGCCAGAAAAGAAAACTTTGTTTATTAAATATTAATAAATGTGTTGATCAATATGTGTTTGTGTGCATTGGTGGGGGAGTATTGAACTGATAATGAAACAGAGAAGAAAAAAAAAAAAAACAAGTTTCAGTAGCTATGAAAGAAGAGAGAAAGCAGCAGAAAAAACACTAACATTTGTATGTCGGGCGCATACTCACACATACAATTATCGTTTCGGGGCCTTTTTCAGAAGAGCTGGTGCTGTACGGGCAGCAAAGTAAGATGAGTTCACGTTTAGAAGGAGAAAAATAGAAATAGAGAAAGCTAAAGCAGATATTCTTTTAAAGATGTCAGAATATACGCGACCATGACTATGGATTTCTTTCTTTATTATTTATGAATTGTCATGATTTTTGGGGGAAAAATATTGGATTGATTTCCCGTTGTTTTCGCCATGGTTTTGTATTCAGTGTGGTGCTTTTCTTAGATTACTAATTAATCTATAGCTGCGAAAAGGAAGAAGCGGATTCATGCCTTTCCAAATTGCCAATAAAAAAATTAATTAAAATAAAAACATAGAAATAAAAATGTAAGAATAATAGGTTTACAAAAAGGTAATGGTAAATGAAAAGGAGAAAGAAAAAAAGAAAGAAAGAGAGAAAGAGAGAAAGAAAGAAAAAAAGAAAGAAAGAAGGAGAGAGAGAAAGAAAGAAAGCGAGAAATAAATAAATAAATAAATAAATAAAGAAAGAAAGAAAGAAAGAAAGAAAGAAAAAGAGTAAAGAGTCTTTAGAAGTAGGAAAAAAATGAAAAGAGATTCCGTATTTAGAGAGGAAATTGAGCAGATCTGACTTTCAAGATACACCTAAGCGAAGAGATGAGCAAATAGATCCGCGTCTCTGATTGTGCAGCTCTTCGTAGCCGAGCAGTCAAAAGCAGGTCGGATCAGACAGCGGTTTCTCCTACAAAAAGAGATGAGCAAATAGATCCGCGTCTCTGATTGTAGCCGAGCAGTCAGGCGGATCTTCGTTTCTCCTACAAAAAAGAGAGCAAATAGAGTCAAGCTCTTCAGGTCAGGTCGGATCAGACAGCGGTTTCTCCTACAAAAAGAGACACAGATCCGAATCCTGCCGAAGCTTCAAAAATCGATTTAAAACGTGAAAATATTTGCAGTTAGTGAAAATCAATCATGTTAAAATAAGATAATAAACAAAGGAATCAGACAGATCCGAAAATTGCGGGAAAGTGAGAGACTTAAAACTCAAAGAATTCAGAATAGTATTGCTTCCTTTGTTTCGATGAGAAGTGAATATTACTTGTTTATATTTGACTCCTAATGCGTTTACTTGGCTCGGAGATATATAAATATATGAATACTGGTCGTTTATGAAAGCATTTACTTGGTTTAGAGATAGATAAATATTGGTGGCTTATATATTCATTTACTTGGCTGGTGGATCGGTAAAGGACCGTTGTTTGCATTTAAGTCTATAAGCATTTAAATGATTGAAGATAGGCAAATATTAGTCGCTTATATTTGATTCTATAAACATTTACTTAGTAAGAGGTTCTTTTGTGCGGTCTTACTACTCTGTACTATGTAGTCGGCGTATTGTAATTAAAAATTAGAATGTCTATTGTTAAAATAGAAAAAGTAAAATTTTTACAGACTTTAAAATTCACACAAAACTCCCACTATAGTTCAGGTAATCATATCATTGCAAACAAAAGATACTTTGACTTTTCATTGTTGCTTTTCGATCGAATTACAGAGTAATTTTTAAAGTCCAGAATTTTAAAATTATGATTGTGATTTTTTATATAGCGTTTGGAACGATTAGAAAGAGCCTTAAGAAAAGGTTGTAAAAGAAGAAAAGATCCGTGAAGACAACAAACCGAGTAAAATTAAAGAGGAAAGGGCTGGAATATTGAAAAGACTTGAGCCTCACCCAGTAGATAGGTGCTCTGCACAATGCTCTCTTTTCGGTTTGACTCTCCTCCTGCTTCATATTAACGATCTGCCAAAGATAATTCTCAGATCATTAGTTAATATCGATGCAGATGATACAAATGTTTATGGGTCTTGACGACCAGAGCCTGGCAGCTGATCTCTCCACTGAACGAGCTCTAACTGTCCAATGGAGTGGAAAAACTGGCTTTTACCATTCAATACCTCTAGAAGCAAGATAATAACGTTCCAGAATCACCAAACAGACTCTGAATTCTCAATGGTCAAGATGAATAGTTGCATTTTCAATGAATAGTTGCATTGCTTTGTGAGGACGCTGCTTTTTCTATCTCTTCCCCACGCCTACAACAAATTCACTGACACACGCAAGAACGACCCCAATCACCGACAATTAGAGAAAGTCTTCAGTCAATTGCAAATAAAGGCTTTCGGTGAAACGAGTTGATAATTGGGGTAGTGTGAATGGGTCATTTCCTAGAATTTGTCAGACCTATTTTTTTAAACTCTATACCAAACGATAATCTTTTATACCTGGAAAATCTGAGTGGTTCCTTTTGACATCATTTCGTAGATTTTGATTTGAAAGTCTGTTGCGACTGAAGTTCACTCCAGACCTCAAATGGAATTCATATGTACGATCCATTGTTAAAGTCACTTGTAAAATGGTCGGGTCATTGCACCACTCCAGTAAGCACCTGACTCCTCTTCCTATGTATCTTTATATTTGTCAGATCTGAAGAAAAAGGTGTATTTGTTGCTATATCTTTTCTACATCGTTTCTTTCGATATTTCTTTTCCAGGCTTGATAGGGTCAAAAGCGTTTACGTCACCTAGTTTGGTTTGGTCTAATTTGTTTTACGGCATATGGGTTATTTAATGCCGACAACATTTTTAGGATAGATTCGTATGAATAGAATATGTATTCTTTGGTTTAGATTGGTTTGGTTTATTTTGTTTTACGGCATATAAACCTCAATGGGTTATTTAATGCCGACAAAGTTTTTATTACTGGTAATATGTTTTCCTTTATAAATTTTATTTCTGGGAATATTTTTCCTTGAAGAAATCTATAGCTGGTCATATTTTTTTTTCAAAGAATGTATAACTATTTGTATTGCTGGTATTTTTTTAAAAGTATTGCTGATAATAATTTTTCCTTCAAAAATTATTGCTGGTAATAGTTGCTTTTTATTACAAAGTATTTCTGGTATTAAAACCTGTTTTTACACAAGTTTGGGTATTAACTATTTGCCCATAGCAGGGACCCTAACAGGTGCTACCACCCCGGGTCAGAGTGGACCTGGGAACACCAGCAATTAAGAGGTGGTTCCACGCTCTTCAAAACTACCTGATCAAAGGCCTTGTTGTTGGACGAAGTTTATCGTCTTACCCAGGACGGTCGTCACCTAATTGTTTCCCACTCTACAACCCCTTTCCCCACAGACGAAACGTCGCAAGCTTATCGTTTTTCTATCGCTATTTAGATGGCAAATGTTATGAAGTGTGTTACTGATGAGTTCCACTATTTCAGACATTCACGCCACGCACACTAGGGCCAATAATTCTTATGCCCTTTGTATTTCATTAGTAAAGAGGAAGAATTACAACTTTGTAGAACAAACCCCGGAAAGGATGTTTCTTCAATCTCTACAATCTTATACTAGTCTAAAGTCAACCGTTAATTTTCGTAGATATTGTCATACTATTCACTTCTGACCACCCTCTCTTACTTCCATACAACTTTATTCAATAATCTTCTGCCTTGACTGTCTCTTGAGCCTTGTATTGAATGAACAATAGTAAAATAAATAAATGAAAGGATGAAATAATAAACATCGTTGGCTTTACCACAGTCAGTCATACTGTCGCTGTTATGAAAGAAAATATACTGACTGATTAAATAAAGAAATTAGACGAAAAGCCAAGAAAAAATATCCCCCGGCAAAAACATCCAGCCAGTCTGTGAACAGACTAAACATTCGAGGTTTAGTTTATAATGGTGGCTACACGAACGTTCATTTCCTGTTGGACTCTGCCATATTGTAAGCTTGCTATCAGCCATATTTGCCACGCGACATTATACCGACGTCGTCGATTTTCCGTTCACCTTCTTCCGGCAGAAGTGTGCATGCGCACCAAGAAACGACAACCGAGTTCACATCCGGCCTGCACAGCGCGATCAACGTCAGCTATTCTTTGATAACGATCATTGTTTTTTTGTTGTACCATTATCGATACGCAGGGAATATCTTTGTCGCCGACTGATTTAGTTTAATATTTCCCACTAGAATTAGCGATCGAGGTTCAACTCCAAATCAAGTTAGGGGTTTGAATGAAGATTTAAGGAAAGCAGATTCTCTCATAATAGAAAATAGGCATAACATAAACACCCTTCACCCATTTTTCGGTTTAGGTCTTATTAAAGGCGGCGGCGGCGAGTAAATATTCTCCAACGTCTTTTCCCCCATTTTCAATAAATAAGTTTATATATTTGAGATTGTACAAATTAAGGCAGTCTTTCTTTTATATTTATCGATCTCGTCTGTCAATTTTTCCATTTCTATCAGTTTATCTATTTATCGCAGTCTGTTCATATCTATCTATCTGTTTGTTTGTTTGTTTTTCTATCTATCTATGTCTGTTCATATCTATCTATCTATCACAGATCTATCTATCGATCTATCTATCTATCTGTTCATAGATATCTATCTATCTATCTATCTCGGTCCCTTCGTATCTATCTGTTTAGCTAGCTAGCTATCTATCTATCGCTGTCTGTTCATATCTATCTATCGCTGTCTGTTCATATCTATCTATCGATCTATCTATCTATCTATCTATCTATCTATCTATCTATCTATCGCTGTCTGTTCATATCTATCTATCTATCTATCTATCTAACTATCGCGGTCTCTTCGTATCTATCTATCTATCTGTTATGATGTTAATTTGGGGTTAATAAAGACAAACGCCAAATAACATGTAACAATAAAATGGGGTTTATTCGGTTGGTAAGTTGGTACAGAAATCGCCTGAGTAGTCTATAACTAACTCAGCCTAGAACTTCTCCGACACTCTTTTGACATGCCACTATTTAACGTCCTTGTTTGTAGACGAGTTCATCTTCAAGAGGTGGGTGGTAGGTTCCTACACAACACCTCGCCCTTGAGATTAATTCCGCAGGAATTAATATTTTTTTTCTTTTGGGATCTGGACTTAAACGTTCCACCCTAGTTCTTTTTCTTGTCCTTCTTTGAACAACTGTTTCAGGCAATGGTGGAGTCGGTATATCAAATAAATCATATAATACCTCCATTGGTTCTTCCTTTTCTTCACTTATTTCTTCGATGATTCTTTTCCTTAATTGGTTCAAATGTCTTTTGTGCGTCCATTTTTGACTTGGAGATAGGCATCCGATAAATCCAATTTAGCGAATATTTTTCCTCCACTTAAACTAGCAAAAATGTCTTCTGGCGAAAGGCAAAGGATATGTGTGGTCTTTTAAGCAATCATTTAGACCCGTAGAAAAATCGGCACACATCCGAATTTTTTTTTTTTTTTTCTTAACATATACAACAGGGCAGGCCCACTCTGAAAATTCAATGCGTGAAATAACTCCTAAATTTTCAAGCCGTTCCAATTCCTTGTCAGTCTGTTCCAAAACACCAAATGGCACATTTCTTTTTCGCTTGAAAATAGGTTTTACATTTTCCTTCACTTCAAATTTTGCCTTCGCCTTTTTCCAACATCCAAGACCTTCTGAAAATACTTGTGGAAATTTTATTTTCAGATCTTTCAAATTTTCTGTAACCCGATTTTTACACGGAGAAGAAACATTGATTCTATTGCAAAAAGAATTTATAGGGAGTTTCCATAAATTAAAAAGTATAATCCAATCTGTTCCAAACAAATTTGAAACATTTTGTAGCACATACACTTTAGACTTTAGTGTCTTACCAACAAATGAAATATTACAAGAAAATTCACCTTGAAAATGCAATTTTCTTCCAGAAATCCCGCGAGCCACTTTTTCAGTCTTTAAGCAAAGGTCTGCCTATTTTAATCCATGTTGCTGTATTAATAATGGAAATATCACTTCCAGTATCTAGCTGTAGTTTAACATTTTTTCCATTAATTTTTACCTGTACGAATTTTCTTTTCTGCCCCTCCTCAATCTCCTGACGTGACAACACAATATTCACAATATCTTTTTCGACTTAATTTTTTTTCTTTTGCTTTTACAATGAGTACTTATATGGCCTTTATTGCCACACGAATAGCAATTTTTGTCGCGAAAAAAGCATTCACTTTTCAAATGACCACCACCGCATCCAAAGCACGTTGGTTTTTTAACGTTTTTATTAACTATTCCCGTTTTTGGTCGAATAGCATAGACACGGGATATGTCTTTTTCTTCAATTTGCGTATTGTCATGTTTTAAGTTTTCAATTCTTTGACATTCTTCCGTAACCTTCTGCAAAGTAATCTCGGAATTTTGTTCGAGTTTTGCCAATATTCGGGACCTTATGTCCCTATCTTTGCTAGAAGTCAAGCCTTGAACGAATATCAAACATTTAAATCGATCAATTGAAAGATCATGTAACATAAAACGTTCACACATTCTGTTAACATTTCCAGCATACGTAACAACATCCTCATCGTCACGCTTTACCATATTCAAACACGAGAAACGAGTATGAAACAAACTAACTCGCTCGCCAAAAAATACTAGATAAAGTATTAACAGTTTCTTCGAAAGAAATGTCACTAGTTTTTCTTGGAAGGACAAAATTCGTATACTTATTATTTTCATCTGTACCCAACTTTTGTAAAAGTAAACTTTTTTTCAAATATTGTTTCAAATCTTCTGAAATACGCAGGAAATGTTATACCCTCCTCTGGGTTAAATTTGAACTCAGTAATAGAATTAGCAATACCTTCGGCCGTGAATGTCGAATTTACTGGATTCTTTAGTAAAATTGCTTCAAATAAAACCTTTGTGTCATTTCACTGCTGAACTTGTAAATCCAATAGTTGTTCCCGAAACAATTTTTGTTGCTCTTGTTGATGAATTTGATTTTGCACTAGAGTTTTCGTTAATGCAATCAAATCTTCCATTATGCGTAATAGATTACACAAAACACTTTTCGAAAACAGTCAAAAAAGGGAAAAACACGTATATATCCAACAATAAGCACAAGTCTTACTTCTTTTTGGCACGTTGAAATCCTATTTCTTCTTGAAGAACAAAGTTCGACGTATTGTTTTTTTTTTTTTCTTTCAGTGCGAGAAAAAAATTATATAGTCCACCTAGAGTTGAAAAATTCTCCACTCAGCGTGATGAATGAATCTCTCGTCGCCACTGTTATGATGTTAATTTGGGGTTAATAAAGACAAATAACATGTAACAATAAAATGGGGGTTTATTGGTTGGGTTGGTACAGAAATCGCCTGAGTAGTCTATAACTAATTCAGCCCAGAACTTTTCCGACACTGGCACAAGGCCGGTTTTATTGCTGGGTTTTGACATGCCACTATTTAACGTCCTTGTTTGTAGACGAGTTCATCTTCAAGAGGGGTGGTAGGTTCCTACACAACACTATCTATCGAAGTCTCTTCACATCTATCTATCTATCTGTCTGTCTGTCTGTTTAGCTAGCTAGCTATTTATCTATCACAGTCTCTTCATTTCTATCTATCTATCTATCTATCTATCTATCTATCTATCTATCTATCTATCTATCTCTGTTAATATCTATCTTAGTCGATTTCTATCAATTTGGAGATGTTCGTTGTTAAAACGCTGGCAACAAGAGTCGAAAGCTTTTCATTAAAAAAAAAACAAATACTTTTTTGCTCATTAAAACAAGTTCCAACTTAAACCTTAATAAATGTGCATGCTTGTAAAATTTACAATACCCACCTGATAAAAAATGAGGATCATTTTAAATGACAATTGTTTTCAATGTTAATTTTTATATGCAAATTAGTGTGACGAAAGAAAAAATGATCCTATCATAATCTATATTATATGGCATATTAAGCTATATTATCTTCGGTAAATCATTTTTATCTCATGTCTTTGTTTTTGCAAGAATATCTGTCATATCTTAACCTATTGGCCAAAATCCGATCCCTTTAAGATTTTTAAACCACACGACTTGTCACATTGCGAAGCTGTTGACTAACCAAAACTAAGGGGGAATAACCCATGGTGGAGAACCCACTTCGAGGCTATGATTCTTCTGCATATTTACGATCTGTAACAAGAGGCTATTTTAAAATATGGAGTTCAGTCTCCTAACACTCTTCGGCAAAGTTTTTGAAGTTTTAATCATCGCCGAAGTGGTTAAGCACCTTATATCCCATGATCTGCTCTCTGACAAGCAATATGGTTTCCGCTTTGCTCGTTCTACAGCTAATGTGCTCACGGCCATAACTGAAATTATTTACCAACCACTTCACAATAATGGAGAAGTTCGTGCCGTGGCTCTAGATATCTCTAAAGCGCTTGATAGGTTTTGGCATGCCGGCCTCCTTCGTAAGCTTCAGGTCGATTTTTTGACTTAATACGATCATTCCTGTCAAACCGTGTAATGAAGATCGACCATAACGGATTCTCATCCAGTTCCTTTCACACGAACGCAGATGTTCCCCAAGGCTGTATCCTGGGCCCCACTCTGTTCCTTATCATCATTAACGATCTCCCGATCTCATCAGTCCCTAAGTAGGCATCTATGCAGAAGACGCTACTATTTACTCCTGCCTCAATAGCAAGTCTGACAAAATTAACTTGGCCGTTAGTCTCAAAAAGGACGTCCAATCGGTTGTAGACTGGGGCTGGTTAACTTTAATGCCTCTAAAACAAAACTGCTCTCTATTACTCACCACAGGGAACCATCCCTGCTGCCCATTAGAATGTCTGATGCTCAACTCCACAAGAACACATCTTCAAGGCTGCTAGGTCTCTAACTGTCCGCTGACCTGAGACGGAACAATTACATTGAATCTATAGCTTCATCTACCGCTAGGAAAGTTGGTTCTCTGTGTCACGCTAGAAAGTTTTTCTCGCCCGGGTTAATCCTTCAAATCTATAAATCAATCATTCGCCCTTGCATGGAATACTGCTGGTATATATGGTCCGGTGCCACCGCTGTTTGTCTTAAGGTCCTCGACAAAATCCAGAGACTGTTATGCAATGCGATTGTCCCTAATCTGGCATCTCGTCCAAAGTCGCTCTCTCACAGGGTTGCCTCCCTCTGTTTCTTCTCTGTTTTTTTTTTCTACAAATACTTTCACGTTAACTGCTCCAACGAGCTACTTTTGCGAGTTCCCAAATTGCATGAATTTAAGCGTGCTACTAGGCTGGCATCTCGATCCCACCCTTTCACTGTGGAAACGGTTAAATGTGGCCGTCTCTTTTACTCCAATAGCTTCATGTCTCGCACCTCCCGTCTGTGGAATTCTCTTCCTATGACTTGTTTTCCCTGATAGCTATAATCTCCAACTATTCAAATGCCCTGATCTATTCCCTGTCCTCCTCTTCATCTTTTTCTCCATCACACCTCTCGCTCCCATTCTCTGTAAGCCCTTGAGTGCTAGTGGCACTCCCGCCTTGCTTAGGGTGAAATGCTTAAAAAAATATCCAAAGTGTCATGAAAAAGCCAGTTTGAAACGTGATACGCAAAAACAATATCCCGCTGAGTAGTCAACTATATTTGTCGATAATATGTTTAAAAAAAAGTATTAAGTTGTATTAACATTTAACATTAACAGGTTTTAACATTAAAAATGAACAAGTAACAGTTTTTCTTTAAGTTTGTAAATAAAAGAAATGATATTCTTTTACTACGACTGCAGAGTTGGGTGGAGCATACTTATTTACTAAAGCCAAGGGGATTAGGGTTAGGGTTAGGGTTAGGGATAATGCTCAAAGGGTTACTTGAGTGCAGAAATATCAAAATAATCCCCACAATATTTGTTTTATTACACTACTCCAAATTAAAGTATATCAAATCTGTTTTTAACATACCGTATTTCCTGTTATATAAGACGCACTTTATTCCCTAACCCAAATCTAATCTACTTCTTAGTCAGAGTTAACGTCGATTCCTCTTACACCGAAGTACCCCAGTTTAATTCAGCAATCACTGGATGTCCATGGTTAAATTATTATAAATGGAAAGAGGGTAAATATATATATTAGACGCCGAATTTATCCATCTCACCCTATGTGCATGCATATATATATATATATATATATATATATATATATATATATATATATATATATATATATATATATATATATAGAGAGAGAGAGAGTGAAAGAGAGAGAGAATAGGGTGCGACGGATAAATTGTCATCTAAATTTTAACAGATATATTTACAAAAATTACACAAAAATATCTTAAAATACTAAAGAGTAAATTTATTCAATAAAATCGCCATTGGCTTCAACCACGGCCTCCAGACGACTTCGGGATCTCCTGCAACTCTTCTGGTCTGTTTCCTTGTTTAAGTTGGTGAATGCTGCCATAATCTTTGATGTTACAAGGAGTTTTGTTGGTCTCTCGTTCAACTGCGGCCCAAACACAATAACCAAGGGGGGTACATTTTTGAGAGTTAGCTGACCAGATGTAAGGGGGGGTGATAGAGTTAGCTGACCAGATGTAAGGGGGGTGATATACTTGCAGAAAATTGTCATGCCATGCCTGTGTTCTCCTGATAATTTGGCATGGTGCAGAGTCCTGTTACCAGACATATGGTCTTCAAGCAACACCCTCTTGATCCAGGGCAGCAATACTTTGTCAAGGCACTTGATATAGTCATCCGTGTTAAGTCTGGGCCTATCATCAACAAATTCGGGAGTTCTTTTCTTATCTGAACGATCAAAGTGTGTTTTCCGAGTGACAGTACCTTCGTAATCACCATGAGAATCATCCAGCTCTCTTCGGATTGACACCCAAATACTGAAATGTTCATATTGGAGCTTCCGTTGCCAATGCAAAGCAGTAGAGCATGATGTTTCCAAATTTCTGGTGAAGTGACTTGCGATATATATATATATATATATATATATATATATATATATATATATATATATATTTAAACATTTCACCCCAAGCAAGGCAGGGAGCCATTAGCACGCAAGGGGTTACAGAGATTTGGAGCGAGAGCAAATAAGAGTGATAGAGGAAAGGATAAGAGAACGTAAAGGGATAGTCGATTCAAATTACATTTGAATAATTGGAGATTATAGCTATCAGAGAAACAGGAAGATGGGAGGGAGTTCCACAGGCGAGAAGTGCGAAACATGAAGTTACTGGAGTAGAAGAGACGGCTACATTTGACACTTTCGACAGTGAAAGGGTGAGAGCGAGATGCCAGCCTAGTTGAACGCTTAAATTAATGAAGTCTGGGAACCAGCGAAAGCAGCTCATTAGAGCAGTTAACAAAATCAAAAACAAACAATATTCCTGCTCAAAATTTAATATATTCGCATCATATATATATATATATATATATATATATATATATATATATATATATATATCAGGAAGAGGTTATACTTGTTCCAACGAGAGAAAAGTATATATTTTAAAGAGAAGAGAGAAACCGAAAACGCATTTTTAAATAGATATCATACATCATTTTCCATATTTTTGCTACACGGGTTTCCAGTCTCGTGATCTTCATCAGACAATGAGTCGTTAGTTCCACATATTTTTAAAAGGAATTAATTTCCCTAATGTTTTGCGGTGTTGAACCATTGTTTTTTTTTTTTCTTGGACTGGTGGAGAAAATATTCTTCTGTTTAACGGTTAATAAAACAATTAAGATTGTTCAGAGAAAGGGCAAACATGTTCTTCCTTATCTTTTTATGATTCCTGTATCTTCTTAGATCTATCGACATTTTTGTGCACATCCTATCCCTAAGCTATCGATGCATGGCAGAGAAAAGGAAATTCTAACGTATTATATACGTGATGTATACACACGCCAGCAGCCAGAGGGATCAATTCATTAATGAAGAGCGGTGCATTAATAGCGGCTACTCTTTTGGAATTACCCTTTTCTCTATAGTACTCGATCGAATAACGAAAGGTTAAAATAATCATCCACATACAAGCCTGCTTCACTGTATCACAGCTTATCAGTGTGGCTAGACATCATATATATATATATATATATATATATATATATATATATATATATATATATATCATATGTTGTATAGGGTTAGTGTGTAGTCTATTATGTTTCTTTTTGTCTGTATGTGTATATATATTCGTTCCCCATAGATAATTGTGTATGTGCACGCGCGTTTGTGTGTGTGTGTGTGTGTGTGTGTGTGTGTGTGTGTGTGTGTGTTGTTCGACCAATGTATGTGATCATTATACGTTTATGCTGTGTGTTTATGTGTGTGGAGTTATGATCTGTTTAGTCCTGGTTTAAATTTGTTTATGAAGATTTTTTCTTGTATTTGTAGATAAGAATAATTTTCTGTTTGGTATATGGTATAATTTTAAATTTACCTTTTTTATGTTTATAGATGTGTTGTGATAGAAAGAGTTTTCTTTTGTCTAGTAATTTGATTTTGCTTTTGTTGTTTAGTGTTTGGCTAATACCTATATAGGACTTGTTGCATTTTGTGCACTTCAGCGCAGAAATCACATTTTTGGAGTTGCAGTTTAGTTTTTTATTTATTGTAAATGTCGCTGTGGGTTTTTCAGAGGTACAGGAGTTTCCTTCAATAATGATATTACAAACCCCACATCTTTTCATTTTGTGACACACTGTATTGTGTGGTGGCTAAATTTGCTTGAGATTAATATGTGTTTTAGTTTTGTTGATTGGCGTTTGCTTTGAATTATTTTGGTTGTTTTTAGTATATTTTTCATTTTATCATTCTTCTTAAGTAGGTCTAGATATCCTATAATCTCTGTAAATTGTTCTGTATTGTTCTTGTTGTATGTTGAGACATAAGCGAGAGTTTGTTCGACCTTGTGTTTCTTTGGGTTTCGTAGTTGGTCTAAGGGTATTTTTTTGCTAGCCCTTTGTTTATTAGTGTTGTGGCGTAGCCTCGTTTTTTAAAGAGTTTAATGTTGTTCTTCTAGGCGGGTTTTTCGGGGGTGTATGTCGGTCACCATAGCGCAAACGCCAAGTGCTAAGGAATAGGAGATGGATTTTATCAGCTATTTGGGGATGACACTTAAAATGAAGACTGTTCATTATACTTCTATCTATCTATCTATCTATCTATCTATCTATCTATGTTCATCATCCTTCTCTCGCCCCCCCTCTCTCTCTCTATCTATCTATCTATCTGTGTGTTTATTCTAACTTTTCTGTTTGTATTTGAGATGAAGACAAATGCTTCCGGAAAAGATATTCAGCCAATCCTCACAAAACAACTAGTAAATCCCATAAATAAATACACGGAAATACAAGTAAAAGCTTTGAAACACACACACTATATATATATATATATATATATATATATATATATATATATATATATATATGAAACATGGTTAGAACTGTGTAGCGAAAAAACCATGTTTTAAATCAATTTATAATATATATATATATATATATGAACCTAAAGAGCCAGGTAAACCTACCTAGGTTTCATCTAGGGTCAACCTGACGATCCGTATAGTGTATTGAGCACTTTACGTAGTTACTTTTGCTTTACTCATTTTGTTTTTTTTCTTTGGACTCTGAGCTTGAATACTGGACGATTGTTCTCGCCTCAATTTCATGTTCTTAGTTCTTTCTTTTTATCCCACATTTTTCCTTGGGCATTGGTTTGTTCATTTACAAGCCAAAAAATACCTAAAGTTTTTCCAAACGAGTATAACTATATATATATATATATATATATATATATATATATATATATATATATATATATTAAGAAATATAGTTTTAAGGTGTGCTATATTTATGGGATAAAGTGCTCAATATCAGAGATAAGGCTGATGTAAATATAAATATAAAAGTGAACATTGAAGTCAACACTCCAGAGGCGACAGGTTGTTTTATGATGGACGCAATCGTGACGATTGCGTCCAGCATGAAACAGTCTGTCGTGTTGACTTCAATATTCACTTATATATATATATATATATATATATATATATATATATATATATATATATGCACTAATGCCTTGAGATACGAGTTTAATTTTTTCCAAGACCGAGCTCGTAACTCAAATCAACTTTCCCTATTGAAAATAATGGGAATATTTCCAATCTGTCTCAGACCCCCAAAAAATCACCGTTATTTTCCAAAACTCACCCCTATTTTTGTAATTGTGATTTTCTTGTAGGCAAAAACGTGCGAATAAACAAGAAATATAGTTTACAAAAGAAAATTGTAAAGAAATAAACTCATGAAGTTCAATAGGCCAAGTGGCGGGGGTGAGGAGAAATGGACTGCAACAGCTAGCCTAGCAACCGATAACCCCGCCTAGCAACCGATAACCCTGCCTAGCAACGGATAACCTCGTCTACGATATCGAAGATGAAATTTATCACTATTTTTTGCTTTTAAAACATTTACATTTTATCCCTTACAGCAACTAATTTTTTATTTTAATTTTTAAAATTCTATCATTTTTTTTTAATTTTTTTATTCGTCGATGTAGAACGCTCATACTGTCTCGCCAAATAAATTACTCGTACGTCTTCCTCATGTTTTTTTTTTATAATTTCCCGCTTTACCTCAGTCGAAATCATGACTTTTCGGCTTTTCACCACTGATCTTTACACTAACTTTCTTCAGGCACATGGTGTCACTAAAGGAATTTTGCAAAAGGACGGCAAAAAGTCACAACACAAGAGAATCTTCCAGAGCGATGTGAACTCGGGTACTGCTAGTGGAAATACCCTGAAAACTTGTCGCTCGCTGTGCCAATTATCTTGTATCTCAAAATTCAGCTCGTATCGCAAGGTAAATATTCCGCCAAACTCCAGATCGTATTTCAAAAACTCGTATGTCGGTAAGCTCTTATTTGAAGGCATTACCGTTTTTAATTTTCATAATTTCATTTTTTAGGTGTTTCTTTCATCTTTGTTTTTATTTTCCCGTAAAAGTTCAAACACAGAAGCCGGATCTGTTGAAATATTTTTGCTAAAGAATAATTTATGTGAAATAATTTTATTTTTTTCAACGACATTACTTGTTTTACTGGTTGTCGTAAATTTCTTCTTTTTTTCTTCCTAACTCCTATGACGTCATATTTTACGCGGGCCTCTGGCGTTAGGAAGATGGCGGACAACGAACAACAGCATTAACAACGATACAAGAAACTCTTTCATTTCTGCGCATGTGCACGACCGACCTTCAAGAGATGTTCACCTTTGCACCTTCTCTCTCTTTCTCTCTCTCTCTCTCTCTCGCTCGTTCTTTTTCTCTTTTCTTTTGCTGAACTAAAAATCTGACGTCAGTCATTCTTTGTTGATTTACCGCCAACATCAAACTTGTTTGATGTTGTAAATGTCTGTATTGCTTTGTGAGGGTGCCGCTTTCACTGTTTTCCCCACCCCTACAACAAATTCACTGACACATGCAAGAACGGGTCCAATCACCGACAATTAGAGACACATAAAGTCTTCACTCACTTGCAAATAAAGGCTTTCAGTGAAACGGGTTGATAATTGGGGTAGTGTGAGTCGTTCGTTTCCGAGAATATGTCAGACCTATTTCTTTTTAAAACTCTATAGCAAACGATAATCTTTTACACCTGGAAAATTCGAGATGTCAAAAAAATCAATCTATTATTTTTAGCTTCGACAAAGGTTATTGACTTTCTTAAAAAAATTAAAGATTTTTTTTTACTAGTTGACATCGGTATTATGACCACTTTTCATTTTTGTTTTTTGTTGAAAAATAAAAATGGCTTCCTTTTCCTCACAGACTATACCTAATGATGGCTGTTCCATGGATCTATCTTAATAGAAAAAAAATACGAAGAAGTAGTGCTGAAAACTTCTGAGCTCTTTGATCCGTGACCATCGGACCAAGGCCAATGCTGGATGAGAGAAATTAGCCACTTGTAAACATACTCTTGCTAGCTCATTCCACACATTGCTTAAGTTAATTTCTCTAATTTCTTCAGTAACTTCAACTTTTCAAGCCTAGATAAAGATTTAGGCTTATGTATCTTCCCTCTGACAGCGTCATCTGCACCCACTGCTCTCTAGGGTTTCTAGGTAAATAGGCAGCTATATATAAAAAAAAATGAGCAAAACTGTATCACTAAAACACTTTGCTGCTGCGGAAAGTTGCAAACATGTGGCGCTGTCTTTGTATGCGATCATCGAAATAACTGCGGCTGTTTTTTTTTTAAAAAGTGCCGGACTTTTGGAGTTGCCAAAACATGGAGTGCCAGATTAAGGTCAGAATATGTTTTAAGGTATTAGATGGAATCAGAAAGACTGTATATACTGTTTAACAGAAATCACGCTCAGATAATAATACACGTTAGTACCCAGTGTCAGTGTCAGCAAATAGGTTTTGTTAGTACCCAGTGACTAGTGTCAGCAAATAGGTTTCGTGGTATCTGCTTGGATTCAGTTACTACCCGAGATCTTTCATTGTGTTGGAACGGCTCTCAAATCTTTACAGTATCTGAAAAATTTGAGTGAAGCAGTGTATTCTTTAAAATACTCAGAGGTTTTCTCCAAGATAACAAACTAGTACCATTCTTGTTCATCATAGATTTCAAGAAAGAACACGACAAACGGACATTGCCTTGACTCTAATAACAAACACCCGGCTACCGACATCTTTGCTTAGAAACTTGCATTAATTTGAAACTACTTTGAGCAAACCCAACTTCTCCCCTGAGATGTTGTGGCAGAAGCGGTAAGATTATTATTTGTAAATTGCTAAGAAAACTGAGGTTATTTTCTATAATCAATCAGAAGTTGAAATTATCACATTAAAAGGAAATAAGCTGGAGCAAGTAGACGACTTCAAGAATATTGGTGTTCAGGCAAGTGAAAAAAGACATGAAGATAAGAATTTGGTAAACCTGAGAAGGATGTGGAAGCCGAATCAAGAAAATCTTCTGAAAATAAGACTCTTTCGAGCCCCAGTAGAAAGTGTGTTCCTCTACAATGCTAATAGCCTGAGTTTAATAGATATGACTGCTAGGATTGACGGAACATAAACACGGCTTAACGTAGTGTATCTTGGAAAGAACACCAAAACAAGGTATTCTACAAAAAAAAAACAAAAAAAAAAACGCAATGAATGAAGGAATCACTTCGTATTAAAACACTACGAGTCATTTAGTTATAAGATCATGGGAGAGACAGAGATGAAAAAATAATCAATATCGCTGGAAATCTGTCTATATCCCTGAGATGAGGTATTATCATTATTTACATTATTCGGACTATTATCCTCATCTTCATTACCATATTTATAACTTTTCGGCTGTTCTATGCTCCGACATTTATGCCTATGTCTCTCTATATATCTGTCTATATCGCTGAGATGAGGTATTATGATTACTTACATTATTCAGACTGTTATCTTCATTGCCATATTCACAACGTTTCGGCCGTTGCGGTTTTAACGATATGTCTCTATATATCTGTTATATCTCTGAGATGAGGTATTATGATTCTGTCATTATTTACATTATTCGGACTGTTATCCTCATCTTCATTGCCATATTCTCGGCCTTTATGATCTCTCTATATATCTGTCTATATCTCTGAGATGAGGTATTATGATTACTTGCATTATTTACATTATTCGGACTGTTATCCTCATTTTCATTGCCATATTCACAACGTTTCGGCCGTTGTACGCTCCGGCCTTAAATGTCTATGTCCCTCTATATATCTGTCTATATCTCTGAGATGAGGTATTATGATTATTTGTATTATTTACATTATTCAGACTGCTATCCTCATCTTCATTGATCTTCGCAGCGTTTCGGTCATTATACGCTGCGGCATTTTTCAGGTGATTGGAATTTCGAATTGAACCCTTTATTTCCTCCATCGGTGTAGATTGATGCCTCTTCCGGATGTCTCCGTTATTCCTCTTTAACTCAATTTTCCAAGATTTTGGTTCACCACCGTCGTAGCATGGTATTAAACTCATAACTCTTTGGGTCTAGTCATTGGATCTAACCATAGGGGCGGAGTTGTGAATATGGCAATGAAGATGAGGATAACAGTTGTAATTTTTATTATACTGTTTCTTGAGCTAATCTTTCGGCTCACATGAGCCATCATCAGAGTGGTTATGTGGACATTACGACAGAGATGTTCACCATCAAAGATGACTTCCTGATATGTTTGCATAGAAGTTTGCTATGCGGACATTTGGCCGCGGAATAGCAGACGAAGATCGTAAATTCGTAATGCGGTTTTATGACGTCGTGCATGACCACGAGAGAGAAAGAATCATATACTGAAATGCATTGTAATATATTTTGACTGGTTTGAGATGTAATTTTGTTGAGTGCATGTTGCTTTGTTTTAATGTTAATGACCTCCAATCTTTATTTACTTCCAAAATTAAAATCACTATACGAAGCTTAGAACGGTTCATGATCAAACATAATAGATATCCGTTGTCTATTATATCTAACAATTTATGTTTGATATATATATATATATATATATATATATATATATATATATATATATATAGAATGTGTAGGTGGTCTAAAGCTGATCGAAATGAGAAATAAGCGAGCGGAGTTCGAATTCCGATCGCGTTCATTGCATTCACTATCAATGATATTAAAAGTTTCTCCACCCCTAATCTTGCTTCTAAAAAACTATGACAAAGGTAAATTCCAAGAAATGCTTCAGAGATTCCTATCTAAAATCGTTACTATCATTTTCTAAATTTTTAGCTGAAAAGATCCTTTTTATCTAAAGATCACCTTAGCCATAAACTTGGAGCAAATGATTTCAGTTTCTGAGTGAATTTTGGAGTTACTTTCATATATTCGTGGTACCATGGATAAAATTGTAGTCTAAATTACGCAAAAATAAAAAAAACTCATTTTAACAGATATTTTTACCAAAATTACGCAAAAATATCTTCAAATACTAAAGAGTAAATCCATTCAGTAAAATCTCCATTGACTTCAGCCACGGCCTCCAGAAGACCTTGAATCTCCTGCAACTCTTCTAGGCTGTTTCATTCAGCTGGTGAGTACTGCCATAATCCTTGCCTTCAGTTCGTTTTTGGTGTTACAAGGAGTTTTGTTGGCCTTTTGTTCAACTGAACCCCAGACATAAAAATCAATGGAGTTGCAGTCTGGGGATGAAGGTGGTCAGATGTAAGGGGTGATGGGGGTCAAAGACATTGTCTGACAGCCATGACTGGATTCTCCTGTTTGTATGGCATGGAGTCCTGTTGTCAGACATATGGTCTTCCAGTAGCCACCCTCTTGACCCAGGGTAGCAGTACATTCACAAGGTACTTGATGTAGGCCTCCGTGTTGAGTCTGAGACCCTCACCGAGAAATTCGGGAAGTTCTTTTCTTATCAGAATGATCAGAGTGAGTTTTCCGATTTGCGTACCTTCGTAATCAGTATTAGACTCATCCAACTCTTTCCGAATCCTCTGCAATGTCCTCAAATTGACACCTAAACACTCTGAAATGTTTGCACTGGAGTTTCCGGCGTGAATGCCAAGCAGTAGGGTACGACACTATTATATAGTGGTACCGATAAAATAAAAGACAAACAACGTACATGTGCGAAATATAACAGGACGACAATTTACCAATCGCAACCTAACTCTTTCTCTCTCTCTCTCTCGATATATATATATATATATATATATATATACAGAGAGAGAGAGAGAGAGAGAGGGTGAGAGAGAGAGGATGCGATGGTAAATTGTCGTATATATATATATATATATATATATATATATATATATATATATGCACATATAAAAGACGTATAGTAGTTTTTTCGGAATTTGAATTTCATCAAAATTCTTTTCCTTGTTAATGACTAAAAGCTTGTCGAAATCTCAGATCCTTAATAAGAACCAACCCGAACTGTGGGAATTTCTTTTATAACTTCAAGACCAATATAAGGAAACTAATTAGCAGTGATTAAAAAATTATTATAAAATATAAAGTTGTTAATATGAAAACCCGTATATATATATATATATATATATATATATATATATATATATATATATATATATATATATATATATATATATCAGTGGTGAAGGTTGAGTTGAATAAAAATTTAGTAATTTTGGTTTAATCAAGACGTAGACATTTTTCTTTTACTTTTTCTTAAAAATGTTTTAAGTAGATTCTCATCACTTGACGTCAAAATAACAAATTTTCACTTTTCCGTTTCGTTAAAACACTGTTAATATGGTGAATTTTGAACAAAATTAAGCCAAAATTACATTTTTTTCTAGAAAAAGCAGTTAAAAACAACTTTTTGGAGGGGGGGGTTCATTTTCTGACGCAGCCGTTGAAGTAGCAAGTAGCTTGAATAGTTGTCGATAGACAAATCGTAAGTGACGAAATATTATATTATATTGGCCCTATATGACAAAATATTCGAGACTGCATACCCTGGATCTAATCACCCTTAGCCATTTTCAGTTGTCACCAACCGGCATCATTGCTGTATGTTTCGGTTTGAAGTAGGTTGTTTATTATTTTATTTTTATAGATATTATTTTGGGTATTTAGGAAGTGCTGTTGGAAACATAGAGCCATGATGACGGTTGACAACAACTGAAAGCGATGGCTAAAACACCAAGGACTAGAGAGCCTTTTTCAGCAACTTATTCCCATATATATATATATATATATAATATAATCAATGTATAATCAAGTTATAATCAAGTTTATATATATATATATATATATATATATATATATATATATATATATATATATATATATATATATATATATAAAATGCTCAAACATGGTTATAATTTATTACATTGGAATCGTAATCACGAGCCAATTCATCAGTCATACAAATTCAAAAGAAATCAGAAAAAAAATATAACTCCGGGCATAAAAAACAAAACTTAGGTCAGTAAAATTTTGTTTTTTATACCCGGCGTTATATTTGGGAATTTATGTATATATATATATATATATATATATATATATATATATATATATATATTTATACCAATTTATCTATCTATCTATCTATCTATCTATCTATCTATCTATCTATCTATCTATCTCTCTCTCTCTCTCTCTCTCTCTCTCTATATATATATATATATATATATATATATATATATATATATATATATATATATATATATATATATATATATGTATGTATGTATATAAACAGAAAAAAGATTTATATATATATAAAAAGAAAAAAAGATTATTAAACGGAAAAGTTCCGTAGTCTTTAACAAAACATGCCTCAATATATAAAGCGAGCCGAGTTCCAATTCTGGTCGTGTTTGTTGAATTCACTGCTATAGTTTTTAAGCCATCTCTTCTCTCCCTCTCAAATATGGGTTAAATAGCAGAACATACTGGATTGGCAACCAGTCTAGGAGAACAAGTCTGAATACCAAAGCTGGAGGCATGCTCACTATGTAGTCGACGAACGGCCCATGGAGTTCACAAATTTACACTATTTACATTGCTCGGACTATCATCCTCATCTTTGTTGCCATATTTATCACAACGAGTCGGCCGTTGCACGCTCCAGACTTCTTCAGGTGGTTGGAATGTCGAACTGAACCCTTTATTTCGCTCACTATATATATATATATATATATATATATATATATATATATATATATATATATATATATATATATATCACGTCTAAGTGTTGACTTCAATGTTCAATTTTATATTTACACATTTCATGTACCCACATTTCATCTCAAAAGTCTGTCCGACTGGAAAGAACATCGATCCAGACAGTAAATGATAGTGCACACACATGAGAACATCAATTATGTTATGTGAGTGTGACAGAATATAAGAAAAAAACAAAAAATAAGAGGAATCAAGAAGACAGTCGATAACGATTGACATTGCATTTAAATTTTTGTAGATCAAAGTTGACTGGAAAGCGAGAAGCCAGAAGAGAGTTTTACAAGCGAGAAATGTGAGAAAAGAAAATATCAGCATAGAACTTTCGGTTAAATTTAGCCACTTCAACTGTAAAATGACGAGACCTAGCTGCCAATCTAGTACTGCACTTAAATTTATAAAGTCTAAATACAATCGATAAGAGTTCATCAGAACAATTACCGTGAAAGTATTTATAGAAAAAGGCACATAGAGACTATGTTATGCCGGTGGGAAAGTGACTGAAGCCGAGATGCCAGGTCATAACCAGTAACATTGCAGATTCTTTTCCTTGGATTTTTTCAAGAATCTGTAAATATATGACAGGTGCACCAGATCAGATGTGGCAGCAATATTCGAAGCATGGACGAATGATAGACTTATAAATATGCAAGATAGATTTGGACGAGAAAAATTGTCTAACACGACACAGTGACACAATTTTCCTAGCAGCAGACCTGGCCGTTGATTCAATAATAATTTTCCCACTTCACATCATCGGAAAACATTATCCCGAGAAGGCGCTAGGCGTCACTTGTGGATCGCTAGCATCAGCCATGCTGATAGACGGTAGACACTGATCTCTCAGATGATTAGTAGAGAGCAGGTTCGTTTTTAGGGGCGTTAAAACTAACAAGCCATTTCTTGCCTCAGTTAAGAACAGAGTGTAAGTGATTTTTGAGATCAGCTGCCAACTCGATCTCATTAAGGCAGGAGGAAATAAATAATTGTCTCATCATCATCGATGTTGAGATATCTTGAAATTAAAACATATCGGCGCAGGTACTTTTATTAAATCAGCAAAGATGAAATTTAAGTTGGAATTATAATAAAAAAATACTCGAACTGAGTCACTTGAGTTATTAGGGTGGTAGGTAAACCGTATGTACTGTAGCCTTCTTAGCAGCGGCGAATGTGTCGCGGATAAGCTGACCGGACGGAGCCCATCCCTCTTCAGTCTGGTTTTGAATTCAGAGTTGTCCTTTTTTTAAAACCGGTTGCCATCTAAGGCTAAAAATGCCATTTTACTCTGTTATTTAACCCATAACAGGAGAGGGGAGAGAATAGACATTCATACCTTATCAAAAGATTTGTGTGAAAGTGAATTCAACGTGCTATCCCGGAATGTGAACTTGGTTCGCCAATTACACTTTCTGCGACGATATCCTTGACACTACCCACACATCCATAAAAGAACGCTATGGTGTTTTAACCTCAGAAAATGGCGGACATATCAGCCAATCAAAATGATCTGTGTGCCTATGATTTTGTCTTTAGCAAAGCCAGGAAGTACCCAGTGTCGCAGCTGGTTGTGACACTAAGCAAAAAAAAAAAAAAAAACTGAATTATAAATAAGGCTTTCTACTTTCTCACACACAAACATTGATAAATACTTTGAATAAAGTTTTCAGGGTGCATTGATGTGTGTTGTGTGCGAAGATGTCGGTAAATGCGCGATATTGATTGCCGTACACCAAGTGGCAATTTCCCACACCCTTTTGAGGATTTTTGTTTTCACCACGGCTCTATATAATGTAACCTGTATCATGGCAGCTAAATTAGACGGGCTTTCACATTTAGTCAAGCATAACGAGACTCGATTTGAGAACGCACGGGAAAAAGAATGAGAAAAGAAGGAAATACATAGATTGAGAAAGAAAGAGAGAAATTTGAAAGACTTTTCTTTCTTTTTTCTTTGGACAATCTAAATTTATTAAATATCTCCCAATAATAATAATAATAATAAAGTTGTCTATGTTAGCGACTGATGCACCGTGCACCTCTGTTTTGAGAGGAAATGGCGTAGAAACATGATGGCCGAGTGTCGAGAGGTTTCCTTTTTTAAGCTTCATGGTTGAAGCAGCCATGTGAGACACAGAGACGTCTGAGCTAACTGG